AACAAAAAAAAAGAATTGTTTTCATTAGAAAAGTCAGGTTAACCGAGTAGAAAAACAAGCCACACCTGTTCTGAAAGTGAACCGAACCAAGGACACTTCGCTGAGGACTTGCAGGCCTGGTATTAATATTTTTTCTATCCCTTCAAAGGTTTTTCTTGTTAGTCAAAGAAATAAATGAAATATTAATCAATCCTGATTATACTCGGGCCAAGTCTAGTAGGAATTCGATTGGAATCGTGTTTTGTATATATTGAATAGCCGACATGGAAACTATCAAGTTAAAATTGATATGTATAAAAAGTTCATATGTATGTAAGGTGGACTAGATTGATTATACCGAATGTATTGCTATTTGTACCCTGTAGCTCTTTAGGTAACTTAAGTATAAGGAAGAAAATCGAAACCTATTCAGAATTTTGTATCCTGGGTGTATATTTGTAGAAATATGCATTCTTATTTGTTTACCAATCCGCCGCTTAACATTTTTTACTTAATGACGTTCTACATTCAAAAAAAGATACTAAACTCAAAGTAAAGAAAATGAGTTATCAAGGTTGATCGAGTTAGGTTGCGATCCAGTACAGTTGTTAGTGTAGAAAAAGATAGCACGTAAACTAAGCTTAATTAAGGTTTCTAATTGCGTCCTAAGGCCATGCCGCGACCCCAGGCTGAGTTGGCTGATTGGCGTGGAGGCGGCGCTCTGCTCTCTGGCGGTACACCAAAGCCGCTAATGCCGCCGGAGACACCGGGCGCAAAGCGTTTCCTGTCGAATGGGAAAAGCGACATACATTAGATTTTGCTGCTGTTGATGTGGAAGTGGATGTGGATGCGGACATGGGAATGGATACTCACAGAAATTCGGGTGTCTCCAGAAATGCATTGCCGCCAAGCTCCTGGGGGTATTGGAATTTTAAAAAGTAGTAGACGTGTCCATTGAAAATGCCAACCAGGGAGGCCAAGGAGCCATGGAAAACCAGCTCGATGCCCGCCAGCACCCAAGGCAGATACATGGCCTTAAACCGGCTGCCGAACCAGAAGCTAACAATTACTTCCTTGTTCAGCTGACACCAGATATAGGTTATGGCAACGACCAGCATGTCCATCAAGAAGTACACATTGAATAGCATGCCTCCGAGATTGGCCAGCACAGCTGTGATAATCAGCAGATACATGTAGTCCGAGGGGCTGCGCGCGTACTGATCCTTTTCCAGGCGAGCACTGTATTGCGTAATGAAGTAGCAGTTGATCAGGAAATGGAAGCCCGTGGCTCCGCTTAATGGAAAAACGAATAGGGACGTGATGCAGCGCCACAGCTGTAACCGGGTCAGCACCAGCTCGCGCGATAGGTACGTGTATTCCATTGGCAGCAGGCCGAATCTGCAGAGTAGGCTCAGGCCCACAGTTGCCGTTAACCAGTAACGGGTGAAGCGGGGCAGCGATTTATACCATGTCCCAGCGTCCATGTTCCTCCAATTTACATATAATGTCTTGATTTTGCAAAACAGTCTTTCTTTTCCAATTGTTGATTTACGTGTCTTTAGTCGAGTGTGTGGCCCAAATTATTCTACAACAAAAATGCCAAAAAATACCGTAGTCTTTTCTAGAAAATACCATAAAAACCCGTTTAACCCAATGTACATATTTCGCGAACTAGTCTATTTTTCTCTCAGCATTTAAATAAAATTACGCATATACTTCGGAAAAGTGCTCAGTGTGTGTAGTACATGATATAAAATATTATTTCAAAATGACAATAAAATACCGATAACATATTTCAGTTCAGTGTAATCTGATTCGAAACTTATCGATAATTTTGAATACGCGCGTGTTCAAATTAACAAGTTTATGATGCGATTTGGAAAATGAGTACAGTGTTCTCTGGGCTCATGACAATGTACCAAAACGACAATATTTTATGCGATTTTCAGCTTGCATTTGAATTTTGTTTTGAATAGTTATTGTATCTCGTTTGGAATATGTCAAATCCAATCGCTTTTGTTCAATCTACTTACGAGCATTCTATGTCAGAAATGAACAAAGGAAGGCAGACGCAACGCAGCGGTGCGAAACTAATGCACACTCGAGGATACCCTTGAAACTGTGCGCTTTTCCATAGTGCTGCACTTTTAAGTGGCACGAATTTACAAATTACGAATTGGCCCGCAGATGATTAAATTAAATAACTGTCAATTCTATAATTTGGTTGTACATTTTTTGCATTGCAAAATTTCACCTAAACCTATAAAAAGCAAAGGAAAGAACGCAGAACAGGCACGCCGAAGAGTTAATACCCTTGCCGACCTGTGAGGAAATTTGTAAAGCTAGTTATAGCTGAGTATGGTAAATATACCTAAGAAAACATATTTGTTCTTTAAAATGTCATATTTTTAAAATATCTTGTAGTTCAACGTTTTTTTTATGCATGATCTTAATTTTCAACCGATTATATAGCTATTATAAAAAGTAAGATTTCAATTGTATTCTAGAAAAACCCGTGTAAAATAGATATTGATCGTAAGCAAATTTAATTATTCTAAAGTCAATCAAATATGTTAAAAAAACGAATTTTGTTGAACGAGTTGTTATGTTTATCGTAAATTAAAAGTAAATTATAGTACCGTCAACAGGGGTATAAAAGGCGCACCTCTGTAATAAAAAAAGGTACCCCGTGGATTTTTACCGTTTTTGGAAACTGCGCTTTTACTCTCAGAGAAAAAAGAGGTCCACAGGGGGCGTGAAAGGGTCAAAGTTCTGTTACATATGGCTCTCATTAGATCTGTCTTAATTAACAACCTGGGCTGGAGCTGGGTAAGAAGATTTTACTCAAATATGACCCTCCATTAGATGGTTAAAAATATTAAAGTAAAACATGACAGAGTTAAGCCAAAAAAATGGACGTTAGACAAAACAATGTTGAGAATTTCTGGCATCAAGAAAATTTCTGGGAATTTCGTATAGATGTAATGCTTACATAGATGGGATATAATATTTTATATGCAATAATTTAAAGTTTTTTCTGCGACAGTTTTTAATTTGAAAGTAAAAGTTTTCCATGGAATCTGTGTGAAAGCAATTAAAAAGATACATTCCGATGCGAAACACAAAATTTATCTATACACAACAGCGTGAAGCACAAGCTAAGCATGTGTGTGTGTGTGTGTGTAGGCGAGTTTTTTGCCTGTTGAATTTGAATACTTTGTGCATAATGTGGGTATGCTTGTACTTGCGGGAGAGAGAGAGAGACTGAGAGAGAGAGAGAGAGAGAGACAGCGACATCGATGTAGGATGCGAGTGCGAAGATAGAAACGAAAAGAACGAGCTAATCAAGTGGTTTTGGACCGGTTCAATGTGTGCTGCTTTCTCTGTGAATGTGTTTGCATGTGTGTGTACGCTCGCTCGTGTCTGTGTGTGTGAGTGTGTGTGCATTTGTGTGAGTGAGCAAAGACCACACCCACCATTTAAATGCAAAATGGATGCTACAACTACAGACGCATGCGCTGCCTCCACCCTTACAGCAACAACACGCCCACATGGCCATTGCTCATTATGAAGTTTCTTGCTGTTTTAGTAGCTGTTGACAATGAGCGGCGCACAGACGCACAAACGGACAGACGGACAGACGCCTAGTGGGGGTTTATTTATTTACGCGTTGAGCTTTTGCAGCGCCTTCCACTCACCTGGCGCGGTGTCATTTTGTTGTCGGCGATGCCGTTTTGCTCGCTCATTTCGTTGTAATATGTACAAATAACCGTGCACACATATACATTCTAAGCATGTATGTGTGCATGTACACAACTCTAAATCATGTAAGGGGCTAAACCTTTTCCATTCTTATCTGGGACATCTTATATATAAATATGTACAAGTTCGATATGCATTCATTTTACACATACAACAGAAGAACTTATCTTATAATAAAACTATCTGCATACTATGTACCTATGTATATATGTATGCTCAAGCATACAGTATATGTACACTAAGTACATCCATTTACCTGTGCAATGTGTCTTCGTTTTATCTTGTGTCGAGTCATCGTATTTCTAATGATATATGGAATTAAGATTGATTTTGTTTGTTGTCATGGGAATTTTAAATATGTATAAGCACATGTATGTGTGTGTATGTGCACGTATCAGACATTGCCAACCATCCTAATTACAGTAATTATTTGATTACAAAATCTCCCAGGGTGCACAGCAATTCACATCCTTTTGCCCTTTCGACACAAACATATGTATGTATATATTTATGTATGCATATATGTGCTGTTGTGTGTGTGTGTGTGTGTGTATGTTAGTATAGAATGGCTAACTACAGCATTCGGAACCCGGAATCATTTTTCGCATACGTATGTAGGGAGCACATATTTACATGCATGTGACACATGTACACATATACATACACACATGCGTATATGTTTTTAACATCGATATGTTTTTTACAGTACTCCAGCATATAAACAAAGCATTTCTCTCGATAATAGCGCAGCATGAAGGGGTCGGCTTGGGAGGTTAACTTAACAGGGGGGCACCCAAGACTCACTTGTAAAAATGAGAACGCAAAAAGAGGCAAATCATAAGAGGAGAGTGCGCCGCCAAATTGCAGTACAAATATGTACACGTCAAGGGTGTGGGCCGACGTAGGGGCACAGCTTAGAAAAAGGACAGTCCGCAGATACTGCAGCTGTCAAATGTACACACATACATGCATACATAAGACTACATGCATAGCTGAGTTGTACGATGGCGTCAACATTACACACACACACACACAAACAGCACCCAATATACAACAGACATATTGCGCCTCGCTCTGGAACAGCCCTCAAATTCTGTGAAGGGGTCGCGGCTGCCGCTGCCCAATTGGTGCTAACGAGAGAGAAAGAGAGCGGCGCGTAATGACGTTGATTAATGATAATGACGTTTTGCGACCGTTTCTCGTATTTGTTTCATTTTTCGATTTGCCTCTGCCATCCATAACTGTAGTTGGTCGTCAAGTAAGAGCGAGAAAGCATGACCGCGCATGCTATTCATTTGACTTGAAGTTGACGATTGAAGCCGTCGGCAAATTGAACATAATAAGGTTGCGAATGCGTAGGTGAGGCCGAAGCCAAGAACGGAACGGTACGCGAATAACGGACATTGCCATTAAAAACCCCGTCACCCACCCACCATGCTTATATCCCACAGAATCGTCGACAAGGAGTTGCCCTCCCCGAGCACATTTTTTGTTTACCTTAACTTACTTTGGCTCATAAATAAAATATTTACATTACGAAATTGACGTCTTCGTCGCTCGGTCGCATTTTCATGGTTCCTTTTTGGGTTCCTCCAGTGCATATTACATATTACGAACAGCTTTCACCTCGCTGTAGGCGCGCGTGTGTGTGCGCCTCTTTCTGTGTGTGTGTGTGTGTCGTGTCTCCCGGTGTGCATTTTGTAGAGCTACGTCCGGGAAAAGCTACAAAACCAACAAACAGTCCGCGACATGACCTGCAGCAGTCAGTAGATTGATTAGTCCAGGATTCAATTTGGGGAACGACCCACAAACCGCTTTGAAGTATTTTATGCAGATATTAAATTTAAATGCTTACTTAAGCAGTCGGAAAGACATCAAAAACGGATTTTAATTAACGCAACGAACAAACACCATAAGAATATTTGAAGATCTTGCTGTGAGTCTCAAATTTTGTTTACCTAGCATAATTGTTGTTTAACCAAGTTTAAATGGAGTCTTGTGTTAACAAACATTATAAGTCAATCTCCACAAATTATACAAAACTTACATACATAACCTAAAAATATATAATCGGGCACTTTTCATAAAGTGGGAAATGCAGTCCTCGGCAATATCTACATGAGGTTTAATGAGAAGAAGTTATCGAGATATAAGAACTTACAATCAGGATCAAAATAATAAGCACACCAGCATAACTAGCCTTAGCAAAGGATAATGGAAACTCTTTTTATTTTAAGAAAAGTTTGTATAGAATGAAAAGGTTTAAGTGAAAAATTTCAGCAAAAATTGGTCGCACAAAATAATACACACAAAATTTGATAATCTGGATAATATTACAATATTATTCAAAAGTATAAAAACACGTTTAGGCGGGGTTTTGGATAGTTCCACTCGCACATGTGGAACAAGTAAGAGCTTCTAGTCGGGAGCTCCCGACTAGGGGATACCCTAAACCCTCTTCTTCCAACATCTAATGCATATATATATTCTATTTTAGAAGCTATATGTAAAGTTCGGGGACAATAGCTCTTATTATTTACCAAAATTGCCCAAAGAACAGGATATTGATATCGATTTTTATCGATTGCTTGGAAACGGCATAAGTTATCGATTATCGGAAACAAACTCGATCTGCATCTCGACTTTGAACAAAAAAAAAGGATGTAACCCCTTGCCGTTTTGTCGATTTGGATTTCCTTTTTTTTGATGCCAATCGATAGAACTGATTCTTACGAGTCAAAAATGGTGTAAAATTCCAAAATCCGACATTATTTGACGGAAATATTCCAAAATATTCGATTATTAATTTGTTTGAATGCCAATTAAAAAAATATTAAAAAAAAAATCATCGTAAAAGTTTCGATTTTCGCACCCGATTTTGAAAAAAATCGTGATGTTTTGGAAGGTCATATCATATCCGCGGGGAGTTATGTCGTTTTGGAACGTCATATCTCCCGCGCGGAGCTATGTCGTTTTGGAACGTCATATCTCCCGCGCGGAGTTATGTCGTTTTGGAACGTCATATCTCCGCGCGGAGCTATGACATTTTGGAACGTCATATCTCCCGCGCGGAGCTATGTCGTTTTGGAACGTCATATCTCCCGCGCGGAGTTATGTCGTTTTGGAACGTCATATCTCCCGCGCGGAGTTATGTCGTTTTGGAACGTCATATCTCCCGCGCGGAGCTATGTCGTTTTGGAACGTCATATCTCCGCGCGGAGTTATGTCGTTTTGGAACGTCATATCTCCGCGCGGAGTTATGTCGTTTTGGAACGTCATATCTCCCGCGCGGAGCTATGTCGTTTTGGAACGTCATATCTCCGCGCGGAGCTATGTCGTTTTGGAACGTCATATCTCCGCGCGGAGTTATGTCGTTTTGGAACGTCATATCTCCGCGCGGAGTTATGTCGTTTTGGAACGACATATCTCCGCGCGGAGCTCTTACCCGAGATATTAAAAAAAAAATCATCGAAAAAGTTTCGATTTTCGCATCGACCTCGATTTTGAAAAAAAAACGTGATGTAACCACTTGCCATTTTGTCGATTTTGGTCAGAATTTTCGATATCCTTTTTTGATGCCAATCGATAGAACTGATCCTTACGAGTCAAAAATGGTATAAAATTCCAAAATCGGACATTATTTGACGGAAATATTCCAAAAAATCATCAAAAAGGTTGAATTAACGAACGAATCGGTTTTATGTCAACAACATTTTTCAACCCATCGATGATTAATTTGTTTGAATGCCTATTGATGGTAGGTATCCGTACGCATTCAAAAAGTTATAACATTTTAAAATCAGACATTATTTACCCGAGATATTAAAAACAAAAATCATCGTAAAAGTTTCGATTTTCGCACCGACCCCGATTTTGAAAAAAATCGTGATGATTTGGAAGGTCATATCAAATCCGCGGGGAGTTATGTCGTTTTGGAACGTCAAATCTCCGCGCGGAGTTATGTCGTTTTGGAACGTCATATCTCCCCGCGAAGCTAATACTCGAGATTTAAAAAAAAAAAATCATCGTAAAAGTTTCGATTTTCGCACCGACTCCGATTTTGAAAAGAATCGTGATGATTTGGAAGGTTATATCATATCCGCGGGGAGCTATGTCGTTTTGGAACGTCATATCTCCCGCGCGGAGTTATGTCGTTTTGGAACGTCGTATCTCCCGCGGGGAGTTATGTCGTTTTGGAACGTCATATCTCCCCGCAGAACTATTACCCGAGATTTAAAAAAAATCATCGAAAAAGTTTCGATTTTCGTACCGACGTCGAATTTGAAAAAAAAGTGATGATTTGGAAGGTCATGATGCTGATTAAGAATATATATGTATATATATGATACGCGCATCTTGCATGTGGTACATGAAATATATGTATATTATTTTTTTTTTAATTTCCGAGATCCCTGGGGTATACACACCTTCTTCTGCCAGTTAGATATCATTGTATAAAACCATTATACCCACTTTTCAATGAGTACAGGGTATAAAAATAAAATGTAGCTATCTACAGATATTTGCAATGCCAGCTTAATGATATTGTATATAAAAACCCTTCTATAAAGGAAACTAAAAAGATAGACATCCAGTAATCCAGAATATGAATTTAGTTTTTAAAATGTATTTGTATTTGTTTTTTAGGCAGTGCTTGAGTTGGAAAAGGATTCTTCACATTTGCCTCAGAGGCTTACTTCTAAAACTACATCTGAAAACCTGCAGCACTACTTGAGGAGAGCCCTGGGCGAAACTCGGGCGTGTTTCTCTGTGTGTGTGAAATGAAATGGAAAGTGTCTTAGCTGGCAGCTGAGCTCGACAATCTGCCAAAGTTCAGCCGTGTGTCAGCTGTCGCCCATCAATTGTTAATGTCACAGACACACAGCGTGCGGCAAGGCGGCAAGGCGGCAGGACGGAGGAGGATGAGCACGACTTGGTCGGCCTCCAAGCGCTACTCAGCATGGTAGCCGCAACTTGGAGTCATTTTTGCTGTTTAACTGTCGTTTTTCGCGCGCTTTTCAATTTTTAATTGGGATTTCTGCTGCTGCTGCTGCTGAGTTGTTTGTGAAACGCCTTTATACGGCATCCTTGGCAGCTTTCACCCCCGCAGACTCCGTGGTCTGTTGACTTACTCGGTTCGCTCCGGTGCGTTTTGGCAGGAACGTCTTATGGTTAGTTGCCTTCAGGTCGGCGTCATCGCCACGTGGTTGTAAAATGCGCTTTTCAATACACATACATACTGACTACAATACGCTGTGTGCAATGGAAGTGGAAAATGTGGTTTTTTATACGACCGCGCCGCGACTGCGCTGGCTGTGCTCCTTTGGGGTTCGACATATTTACTGATTTTTCGTGGTTTTTTGCTTTCCTGACACGGGTACGACGGCAATCATTGTGACATTTTAATTGTTTATTTGCGCATGCGGCAGCTCCGACTCCGGGGCAGAATCCGGCTCCGTCTCCGTCTCCAGTTCTGTTTATTTAAGTGCTTGCCAGTTGGCTGGAATGGCTGAGGTAATTGTTTTGAAGTTTCATATTTTGACAAAAGATTTGCGGGTGAGGAGTTTCGTTTCTGGCATGGTTCCATTCGGATTTCAAAAGGGCTCTTTTTCTCTCTTTTGCACTCTGGCAATATATTTGTGTACTCTGGTTAATGTAAATATTTGTTTTTATTGTCATTTGAAGTGCGTCTCAGTGCAGCTCATTTTTAACATTATTCACATATGCCACTCTATGCATTTGCAAGAAGTAAAAGCTAGTGCACTTAAATGTGACAAGCTTCATAAAGACACAAACACAAAATCAAATTCATTAAACAAATTATATACACTAAATGTTACCACATAACGTTATAATAGAAGTAAAGTACAATTTACATAGTAATTGGTTTGGCTTTAAATTATTAAATAAAACAAATAAATAATAAAACATAAATCACAAGACATATAATAATTTCGTAAAATATGAACAGCTAGAATTTTTAATAATCGTCGCAAAGAACAAAATCTGTTGAGTACCACTTCAGATACTTCGGTAAAAAAAAAAAAACAAAAAAAAAAAAAAATTAACTAAATGAAGTTATAACAATTTAGAATCACAATCTCACCACCAGCAGCAGTGGCAACAACACCAACCATTTGGGCAGTGCGCCGGACACCCTCGTTTGCGCAAAGTACCCAATCAAATATTTATGCCTAATAAGAGACGGCTGCACATATGGAACTTTATTAGATACAAATTCTTTGGATTTGCCTTTCGGCTTTGACGCAGTTAAACGCCGCCCAACTCCGCACGTTTATCATCTCTCGCCCGGACCCGGCTGTCGATGCTCATGGATTTACGCAAAAAAGCACGATGTCAACCATTTTAGGATAGTTGCTCTTGTTTTCATTCTCTTTACTGTTTGGGTGCGACAAAGGGGTTGATACGTCCGCACGGACGATGCCGTCGTTCCTGCTGAGGGCCCTAGACGATTTGTTGCAATTTTATACTGTATCGCCGTGTGTAGCCATTTTTGGAAGCAACTGTGCTCGGCTGGTGATCTCGTTGAACCGACTACCCTTAAGCCCAGGAGGCACAGGCTCAGGCAGAGGCAGGGGCAGAGCCAGTGGCAGTGGCAGAGGCGATTCAAGTGCCCAAAAGGTCTGTGACTATGTACCATATAGTGGGAACTTGCAGCGGGGTTCGCTCGTTTGAAAAACCCGCAATTAAGTATGCGTTTTTTTGTTGTATTCATTCACCGCCCCTGTTCCGGCTGCACGTTGTTGTCGATCCGTGTAACTTTTGTTTATTACGAGTAATTGCAGTTACTCTTACTCCATCCATTTTTGTGTGCCTTTTGTGCGCTCCTTTTGCAGCTGCCTTCATTTCCACATGCTCTGCTCTTTTCCATTGATATTCCACGAGGCGAATGCTTAATATAGTTTTTACACCCGT